CGATTCTGTTTAGTTTAGAGATTTTCATCCTCCTATCGATGAAACAAAGATCGAATGAAACAAACCAGACTACTTCCTCTCATCATCTCATCCAGACTGTGTCATTATGAATGATGCCATAAATAAGTCAAGTATGTGAAGAGAAGGCCTCTTAATTTTTCCCAGACTACTCTTTGACATCCAGCTCCAGTTGAAAATGAACAAACAAAAGTCTTCATGCGTTTCTATGTCCACAAGTGAGTACAAGCCCAGCCTCAGAGCTCTATCCCTTTAGATTTAACCTGGCACTAACTGACACTTTCATAATAACAATCTGTTAAATGTCATGAAGTTGACATAGTGAGAATTTCAAAGGCATAGCTCATGACTTGGACGGTAGCGTGCCTCCCAACCGGAGGTTTAAGCTGATCGATCCCCAGAAACTCTTAAGATATGAAATTAATATGTTTATATTCAGGAGCAATACATTAAAAACAAATTACTGACCACCTTTCAGAGCATTTCAAATCCTGCTATGTGGTACAGATCATCCTAGAAGTTTGTGCTCCGGTTTTTGTGAGTGAAATTCTTGTGTTAGGATAGTTATTTGATTAGCACTAATTAGCAAGTATAGTGTCTATACGTCTATGGTTCAGCTGGCTAACCAAGCTTGCTAGCCGTTAACTGATAATTGATAACAGCACTCCAGTCTCTCTTCTCATAAGGCGAGAAAGACCTAGAGTGCAGCTGCTCAAATGTTGAGGTTTTGAAATGCAGAGTTGGAAATCAATGTGTGACGTCACCACGATTACGTCTGTTATACAGTTTGTGGACAAGGAATAATCACGTCAGTGAGAGCGGTGATCATAGTGGAACATTTAGCAACTCAAGAACCAGATTTCTTTATGGAGTCAGCAGAGATATCTGTTTAATTTTGTTTTTACGGTGCCTGTGCTTCCTGTCTGTTGCATAGCAGACGTTGCGCTCTCTGACGTTAGCTCTCTTTTTTCTCTTATTTCCTTCTTTTGGCTCTATAACTGGAAGAAAAACACTCAGAAACTGTCACTGTAACTGCAGCTTAACTTTCACTCACATTAACAGTTGTTAGCCTATTTCCAAAGGTTAGGAACCATTTCAGGAACTAAGGAACCCAGGAGTTAAATTTAGTCACTATGACATCATTTGATGTTCCTACTCTAACAATTTTACATCATGGACCTACGAGAATGATTAAGGGTGTTTTGACACCTGTAGGTCGTTTACTCCTGTCTGAATCAGTTGATGAGTTTGTAAACTTGTAGCTTTTCCTCATGATTTGGTTTCTTTCCGCACAGAAAAAAATCCAAATGAACTCTGAGCAAACCAAAACGCGTCACTACAAACCATGTGAGAAGGTTCAGTTGGCTCATTGGCCAGATGTGTCTGGGGCGGAAGCAACAAAAGTAAATACAGGAAGAAAGTGCTGTGTTCTAGACCAGCGGTCCCCAACCTTTTTTGCGCCACGGACCGGTTTATGCCCGACAATATTTTCATGGACCGGCCTTTAAGGTGTCGCGGATAAATACAACAAAATAAAACTAGTACCGGTACCGAAAAAAAGAAAATTTATTCATAACACACGTGAAAAGACCCAGGAAAACCGAGTTAACGATAAAAACGATAACAAAATAACGCTGAAAACCGATAAAAACCCTGAAAACTATACATTTCACACCTGAGCCTCAACTCTCGCGGCCCGGTACCAAACGACTCACGGATCGGTACCGGTCCGAGGCCCGGGGGTTGGGGTTGACTATTGGAGATCACAGAGGTTTTATATTCACAGCTAGTTGCTAGCCTGTATAGATTTTTGCACATCTATAGTACCTTACCACATTCAGGATACAAAGCAAACGTGGCTACAGGAAGTTTTTTAGCTTAAACTTGTAACATACACCTGGTAGTTGGGTCGGACCGAGACTCTTTTGGATGAGTTGATTACTGTGTTCACACCTGCACAAACGAACCAGACCAAGGGAGAAAATGAACCAGATTTCAACTGAAATGGACTAAACCCTGCATGTGTGAAAACACCCTACCCTTTGGAGTTCATGCCAAATGGCCAAATAAAAATTCCTGCTAGAACAGGAGCTTAGCTTTATAGTGCAATCTGGAAGCATCAGCTTCTACTAACTCCAAGATCAATATGAGGGGCATTTCTTGTAGATGAGTGAATTTTTAAAAAGACATGTTTTTCACCTTTAAGAAGACAGACAGATGAGTCTAAATGAGCTTAAGGCATGAGAGAATGAATGGAAAAAACAAACAAACAGACTAGTTGTGTCAGTTAATGTACCTTGGGGACATCAATAGCAACCTCCCTCATGGCACTGGGCTTCACTACAGACATGGCCCACTGGAGGTCCTGCAGAGTGACCGTCACTGTCCCCATGAGCTGCTGGTCAGACGGTGGTTGATGGGAACCTCCCAGTGCTCGCTTCAGTGCGTGCAAACCTGCACAGAGAAGGTTTACATCAGCTAAATCTGTCACCGAATCAGAAGTGGAAAACAACTTCATGCTGAAGAAAAAAAAAAAGAACTGACTTGACACAGGTTTGACCTGAAGGGAAGCATTTTTTGTTTGACGTTTAACAACTTTAAAAAACGCAACAAAAAAAGAAGCTTTCCCTGAAAACATTCAGGTTGAGATATTATAGAAAAGATGGATCATTTCAAATTCAAAAAGAGTTCTGGATCCACTGCCTAAAAAAGAAATGCTTGTGCCATTTTTCTTCAGTTTCATTCCAAACCCATATGCACCAAGTCCGTTTTTTTAACTCAAACCGTTCAGGCTTGTACTTGCTGTGATGATACACACCTAGTGAATGCAAATCTTAAAATGAACGCTAATTCCCCTTTTGACGGTGAAAATAATTGGGCCTGCAGAGAAAAGTAAGCAGGCAGAAGGGAAGGAGAGTGTAATTGAAGAGCTTAAGGTTTGAATGCCTTTAGTCCGCAACTGAATAAAAAGAATATAAGAAAACAAACACTGATGTGTCACTATCAAAAAATGAGCCTTTGTTTCGCTCTGCAAAAACAGTCAATGCAGAGTGATCTCACGAGGAAAAGAGTCTGGGCCGAGTTAGCTTTTAAAAATTGTGAGGTGATGACTGACATAGAGCACATACTTCTGAAGAAAAGGTTAGAAAAAATTATTTATTTACTGGAAAGGTCATTAAACATGCCTGCTAACCATAGAAAGCCGCTCTGTCTTCTATTGTTGGATGCCGAGCAGCTGCGGTCAAGTGCCTTATTTAGAGGAGGCTAAGCAGCACTTGTAAAGGGAACTTAGTTTTCTTTTTCCTGCTTTTCCACAATCAGTTAACAACCACAGTTGTTATCTGTGTCACGGGGGAAATGAAGATTGATTAAGGATCTTGTTCTGAAGCACGTTCTCAACAAAGGATGTTCTTACGCTTTTTGTTTAAACAGAATCTGTTGTTTACTTCAAAGGAGCCTGATGTACTGTACAGGTGAAATTAGAACTGTGCAAACATCGGCGGTGTTACTGCATGAATCGGATCAGTGCACAAGGATTCCAATTGGTTGTGTACAGTTTGCAAAAACCTTCCAATTTACTTAAAGTGTAAAAGATTTGCAAGTAGGTCTAGGGCCAATGCTGCTTGCCATCACTGCTAAAAATGCAAGGAGAAATGCAAAGAGTAAAGCAATGACAGCATGTGAAACGCCATGTGTGGATCAGCTTGCATCCAGCTGTGGAGATTTAACCCCTACAGGTGGGAGGACAGGTCTTCTCTGAGTTAATTACATGCTAAATGTGGCCAATGATTAGTAGTTACAAAACCAGCCCACAACCACGTTTCCAACCCCAGTGTTGGGTAACAGTATATTAAACACACAACCGTTCTCGATGCACATGTGCACATATCACACAAACACACTCTTGGCTTCCTCTTCTGAGCAACAGGGTTGGGGTGGAGGGGGTCTGGATAGGAGACGGAGTGGAGAGGGCTGTAGGGGAACGGACGTGGTCCAGGGCTTGGGGCCAGAGAGCAGACGAGAGGGGATTTACGATCAGACAAGAGTGCATCCTGTTTATATTTTCCAGGACCCGTCTGACTAGGCAAGGGACAGACAGACAGACAGCGAGGGAGAGAGGGGAAGAAGAAGAAGAAGAAGAAGGAGAAATTCAATTATTGGAAACGCATTTGTCTTCGGCCGAGGTCAATGTGTTCCCCAGTCCCGGCTCCCTGGTGTATGATGCATTTTTCACGCCCCTTCAATCTTTATCCCCAAACACCCACCCTACTTCTTACTCTCAATCCCCAGAGCTCTAAACATCCCATCATTCCACCTGGCTGCTGCTTCAGCTCTTCATCTGCGATAATGCTTCGTCCCGGCGCTGCTTAGACTGCAGAAAAACATCTGGTTTGAGTGGAACAGACGAGGCAAGACAGGATAGGATGTGGAAGGAAGCTGGGGCGAGGAGGGAGATGAGGAGCACCAGCCACAACACCATATGCACTAACCCCAAACCAAAGCTGCCTGCCCTGCAAAGGCAGTGGGGCCTCAGCCTCTATAAATGCTGAGAAGGTGATGGAAGAGGGCCAAAAACAGGATTAACTGCTGGGTTCAGATCTTCTTTGAGCTTAGAATGACCACAGAGATAGAATGATTTTGGACTTATAACTCTATAAAAAGTTGATTATCCGTATTTTACACAGATCAGAATAAATAAACCTATATATAATGGGTAAATATAATAAGCCGCTTCTTCAGTGCATCTCTCATTCTGAAGATGAACTCCAACTCCACCAACTTGGACTGCTGCTGGGGATCACAGTCTTAGCTCTGCTCTGCAGCCTTGTGGCACATTAACCAGCTCCCTGGTTGAGGTGGTTCTCAAGCTCAGAGTTAATCTGTGAAGTTGGAACATGTACAGCTCCAGGATGAGAGACTCAATCAGGAAGAAGCCAACCGTCAACAAGGACCACCACAATAGCAACCTGGCCAGTGATACAGCCAGAAGGTAGAACGCAAGACGGAAAAAGCCAAGGGTGGTTGGCTTGGAGCAAATGAAGTTTGAAAATAAGAGTCAGGAGACTGTTCAGATGTTCTCTCAGATGGATTAAAAATAAAATAAGTAAGGAATCACCAAATGTACTTGGACAGCATCTTAAATATACCCGGGCAGCTTGCCCGAGCACAGAAAATGTGTCAGAAGCAATGTAAAGTAACATAAAAAATAATACACTTATGTTAAAACAGGCAAAAAGCAACAATTATGCAAAATCACATTAAAAATACTTGAAGAAATGCCTTCATACTTCACTTTCTGCAAGGTCATTAACATCAGATATTTCTGCACATTTCTGTGAAGCTTTTGTCACCACGTTTTAATCCTCAGTCCGGCAGCTAAAGTGAAACGCTCATCATCTGCAATAAGCTTTGACAGACAGCTAATGTTAAAGCTTCCAGTTAGTAGTGTGGCTGCATACAAGCGCTGAAAAGAAAAGAAAAAAAATAACATAGCTGACATATGTTTAATAAATGTTTCATCAAAAATCATTCGAAACTGTCTGGATTGAATGTAACACTCTGTCAAGAGGCAACGAAAGGCTTTGCAGCGAATCGGTCTGGCCGAAGGGAAAACAGAGTTCAGAAGGCGCAGAGCTTCAAATGCAGCCTGGAAGCCCAGAGGGCGGCGGAAACTTGATTCAACAATTTGACTTTAACATTTTGCTTTAGGGATTCTCTTGGCTGACTTCAAGCACACATTTGGTTTAGTTATGAAAACATCCGATGGGAGGAGAAGAGGGGAAAAAAAGAAGCAACACAACACAATTTAATCTGAACCTTCTGTGGACTCATTTCCCTATTCCTTTCTTTCCTTTTTTTCCTTGCACTCCTGTTTTCCAGAATGCTTCACATTCACCAGGGGTCCACAGGGAATTGAAAGAAAAGGGGGCCTCCTAAATGTACAAGAATGCACATTTGCAAAACATCACACCAGGGCCTAAAGTACGTATGGAAGTGAGAGAAGACCTCATTTCCCAGAGCTGGCATTGGAAAAAAACAGAGGAGAGTGATTATTTGGGTTTTTTTCCCCTTCCCAGGGGCACAATCTTAATTGCATCCGTCCAAAACAGACCTTGCCCCAAATCAAGGCCTTCTTTTCAGGGGTCACATCCTCTGATGCTCACACCAAACTGACCTGTCAACAACAGAATCAAACATCTGAATACCAAACATGACTTAGAGACACTTTAACATGTGAAGTGGCCAGAAAAAAACATCAAGACAAGACGTGCATTCGATTATTTTGGAGCTAACACTAAGTTACAACAGCCAACAAGTAATAAAAAAATCAAAAACATCTATGAACCTCCTAAGACCCGAACTCTTCCACAGTATGCATTTTTAATTTCTCTTTGATATTTGGGCATATTGGGGCCCGATGAATGTAAAAACAAAGAATTACACCTAATTTATGTTTTTAAGAAAAATAAGAGCCACATATGAGGATATTCGTTTAAAATTTTGATAGAACAGTAGCAGTATAATGTCTTCGTAAGTGGATATCAGGCCCTTGTAGAGCAAAATTGAGTATTTTGGTCTAAATAACCCAAAATGTGATGTCCACATATGTGGACGCCAGGTCCTAGGAGGTTAAACAGTAGAATGGAGAGAATGTAGTGAAGTTAAGCGGTTTATGTGCGTCTATATATTGAGACAACCAGAAATCTGAAACACTGTCCCAATACTATAATAGTATTTCCAATCGCAAAGGGTGAAAGAGCAGCTAGTTTATGACGAATCTGTTTCTGCAAAATTGAAGGCAATTAAAGTATCATAAAGATTTATGCCTTTCTATGAATATTGCAAAGGTCATTTTAATGATAGCTCAATTCTACTAGCAGAAAAGTAGGCAAAGCCACTTTATGGGTCACCTTTGGGGGACAGAGTCTTTGACTGTGCAGAGTCAAGGACTATGGGTAGCCAGGACTACGTAGTCAATACAGACACGTCAGCATGTAGTCTTAAAAAAACAGCAGTAAGAATAAGATGACGTTAAGCATAGTTAGACTACTTCTTAAGTGAAAAGTTGGCTTGACGAAGACAGAAAGTGTCAGCCGAGTTCACCACAAAGACGTGTGAAAAAAAAAACTCATCAAAGATCAAAAACGGAAGCTTAGAAGCACAGAGAGCAGCTACGGTGGAAAGTTTACACTGCTTTTAACACTCGAGGGGAGTGTTTAAAACAAGCACAAGGATAAATAAAAGTAGCAATGCCAATTGTTCCACATATTTTTGATACTGCCACCTGGTGATCGTGCACAGCCACAGCATGTAAATGACTGTCTGCAAAGACTTGTGCAGCACCCTTGATGTTCATGAACAGCCTCTGTCAACTTCTAAAAACCTTGAAAACCCCAAAGTTTCTACTTTGAACATTTGAGCAGGTTTTCAGTACGAGCTTTTTGTTCATGCAA